ACTCGGTAACATCAAAGATAAGGTTTTGTGTTTCTATAATATTGTATAGTATTCTTAAAGGGCCTGCAAATTTCCAAATTGTCCTCAACTTTATAAAATTCGAACATTATTTTTCAGTTTTCACATTTTAATAGCCATATTAAAGACAAAGTTTGTCCACTAATCTACAATTTCCCGATATTCATTTAGGGATTTAGCCGTTTTTATTTGACGTAAATTACTTCACGGGATTAGTGATAACTCATTATCAATTACGTAATTTCGTAATTAATTAGGGAAGTTATGGGAAATAAGTTTCCTCTGAATTGTCCGAAGCCCCCTAATTCGGAGGCATGGCCTCGTGGATTAAATTTATATAATATTTTAGTGGGGCTGAAAAACCCCAAAAGGGATATGAGCTAATTGCACTATTTTTGTCAACACAATATTTTCCAACCATTTGTTTTAGTTAACAACATATATTCTACAATCTACATTTCGAATTTTCATTTGATTTTAAAAAAATCGATAAAAACAAATTAAGAATCGACTTTTTTTAAATACGTACTTTAAAGATTGAGATAAAAATATTAAAAACGGAATTCAATGCAATCTGTTTAAAGTCTTTTTTTTTCAACAAAAAAATAATCATTGAAATCAAACCATACGACGAGACATGAGAGTTTTCCTTGTAAGGAATATTTCTAAGCAGAAAACCGTGATGGCACCGGGCCCCTTAAACTAGCGTTTAAAAATAAATATATTTCGTTTCACTAACCTGCTGTACTACGTGTATACTGGTATAATTAAATCACAAAATTAATGATAGAATTTTTCAGAAAATTATATAGAGATACTTAAGAAAAATCCCTGCCCAGACATGGCCGACCGACATACACACTGATGAAAATTGACAAAAACTGTTGGTAAAATAAATCGAATAATTATTGTGCACACATACGAGTTATTGTTCTCTCGCAATCGTGATGTGTGAACTTAATATTATATAATTTACCCAAAACTGGTTTTTTTTTTTTTTTTTTACTGTATATGATTGCAAATTGTAATCGTTTTTGTATAACGTAACATTTAAATATACGTACCTCGACTACTATGTACGTACATTATAATATATATATAATACTAATATATACATTACACATCTTCGCAAAACCAAAGAAAATTGTATACATACAGAGGTAATAAGTGTGTACATAATATTATATATACATCATCATTGTTTTTCTTTTAGTACAAGTTTAAATTCTCACAGTCGAAAATCGACGCCGTTGCGTTTACAAACAATATTATTATACGTATAGGTATGCATGTACCTAGGAACACGTCGTAATTAAACAAAATGGTTGACGTACGTTCGCATGATCTGTGCTCAGCATTCCGTGACTATTTATAATATTATATTGTACAATAACGATTCTTTATAAATAATATTTTTAAGTCACATTAATTTCATGAACCGGATAACTTTGTGAAATTTAAAATAAGTAAAATAGTTATAATATTTAATAATATTAATAATAATAATGTGCAATAAACAAGTTTAAATGAAATAAAAAAAATCCCTCCTTCAATCGGAGCAAGTCTTCTAGATAACAACTACTAAAATACATTTAAAATATGAAATATGGTACCATATTGGTGTGAGGGCTTGACGACCGGCCGCTATTCAACCGGTGTTTGATGAGCCATTTCCCCCCGCAATGTATATTCAAATATGACTTCTTGAAAGGTTAAGGAAATTAAAAATACTACAAAAAAACTCTTATGAAGTCTTTGATTGGATTTATTCTTCTAGGTTAAAACGTCGGTTTATTTAAAAAAATCTCAATCGGAAGTTCATGAGTATTTAGAGACGACTTGACGGCCGTCAGCTATTCAACAGGTGTTTGTTTTACTGTTTCCCCGTTTTTATAAAAAGGGTAATTATTTTTAATTTATTTGGTTTTCATAGGCAAGAACACACACACCTTTCATAGTAAAACCAATACATTCCTTGTTGTGCTCAGAATATAAAAGAGAACTTGGACTGTGTACAAAAAAGTTTTAAATCATCGGATTTTAAAACAATAATATTTGCTTAACTAATAATTTTTAACTTTCGTAATAGTAATATTGAACAAATAGACACAACGTTACGCACAGTACAATATAGTCTTATTTTATGGTGAAAATTCGTTTTTTTTTTGTTTTTAAATTTAAGACTGCCCGAGTAGTTCTTGCTTGTACGAAACGTTTTTTATAAAGAATTATTATAATACCATATACTTTTGTTTGGTTCAAAATACTTATAATTGATAATCGAAAACGTTCTATTTTATTTGTGTTTAAAAGAATATTTACAATCTGTGCTTATTGCACAATATAATATTATATTGATGTTATAACATTGTTAGAGAAGATATTATGTTATAAAATACGTACGTCGACAAAATATGTCGAATTATTATATTCTATACCATTATGCATTGGGTATACCAAATACAACACAACTATACAGCATTATTGAATGATTTACCGTTAAATAGACGAGTCAAAAATGTACTGGGGACTTCGTATATTATGACACGCACTAAACAATAATTTGGTCACGGTCTGCGTATATAGTACCTAGGTACGTATAATATGTATAACACAATGTATAATAATGTATATAGATATACATAGACGAAGGTATAAAAATATTTCGGTCTTCATCCTGTCGGCGGATATTATTATGAAACGGAAAACAAAATATATATATACTATTTTTTTTTTTGTATAATATAGTAAAATATATTGACTCAGACGTACCCATGGCTTGTGTATTTCACTGTCGTATAATTTACTTAAAATATAATATTTTATATAGGTACGCGTAATGCATACCATCAATGACAATACAGGCATTGGAAATTAAAATTACAAATCATAAAATACCTTTTAACCCTTTCGCCTGCTACTGCAGTTATATGTGATGTTTTTAGTTGTGTCACTATAATTCTGTCAGGAGTGCGATAAATGCATATATATATATTATATATACCACGATAACCGCTATGACCGCATTGATAAAATTACAAATGTAATTTAATAATATCTCTATTATATAAAAAAAAAGTTTTGATATTAATACTTATATCTTCCACGCACATTTTTATTTTATTACGGGGGTTGGCGAGCGAAGCAATTCAATAAAACAATTTGTATTTATTTTCAATAGATTAAATTGAATAAATAAAATAAATATTCGTTTTATATATTACAGTTTTTAAAGAAAAAAAGAGTATTTATTTAATACATATATTATTAGTAAGTGATAACTACATCGAGCTATACACCGGTATAAAGACTACATAGCCATTGTGTTAAGTATATCACTCTGACGTATTTATATGCAGTTATACTTATGTCTTTGTTGCTAATTAAAAATATCAAACCTCAAGAGTATAATAGATAGGTATGTACAACAAGGTCACAGTGCGAGAATAGTAATTTTATGTTTCATATTGTGTACAGAAGAATACAAATTAAATATTCGGCGACTCGTGACGAGGCCGCATTATATTTTGTGCCTACCTATACATCATTTGTCCATTTGTGTGGCAAGCTCCGTTGTTCCTTTCCTATATACCTATCCCTACTTGCAAAAAGATCATACATCAAAGTGATAATGTATGTAGGGGAACCCAGAATAAGATGAGTCACTTAATTTTTAACTTCACATACTATGGTACATTTTTTAGACAAATTCTTAATTTACATATTAAATGAAAGCTAATGTTCTTAATATTCAAAATATTGCCTTTAAAAGATTTAAATAGCATTATTGTAATAATAAAAATTGTCTCATCATATCTCACATGACTTGTCTATTATAACGGCCCCACCCCAACATTTAATATGGATGTTCAGTCCACTATTACTTATTATTAAATATTTAATCAATGTATAATAAACTAAACTACAGAAGTGTACACATATATTGGAACCGTATTTGATAATTACAATAGTTATAGCTATTCTTATCTTGAAATAGCGAAGAAATTTTGATGAAATGACCAGCTGTGAAACGAGAAATTAAAAACCCTGATATTATTTTATGTCAGTTTGATTGTTCTAAGTCATATCAAAAATCATTAGACTTGCGTCCATAAAATCATATGATATAATATAATATAACAATGTAGTAGGTATTATAAGTGTGTCTATGTGTATTAAATATTTGAAAAACGTTGTATTTATACTGTCACTCTTGATTGCGGTGGAATCAAGCGTCCCATCTTACCTCACGTATTCGTCTTGCCTTGGGTTCCTCCGTATAACTATATACTTACTCGCGCCAACGGACTGATGGAAATTATTAACAATGTCAACACCGAAATTCATAAATTTATGGATTTTTCAATAATTTGTAATAGTGGTTTCTTTTCACCAAACATTAGGGTGTTAAAAATTCCGTAAAATTTAACAATTGAACTCAGGTATGAAAGTAGAAATACTTATGTACCACGCCTATCTTATGCATTTCTCGAAAATGAAATTTTGATAGCATTAATGCTTTCCTACATAGACAATAAAATATAACGAGTAACTATATAGTTATTACATGCTTAGATTACTACATAATTATAAATTCAATAATTATATTATAATATGCTAATGAAGGACATTTTCAAATATGAGTAGTTATTATAATTCATCGACAATTTTCGATAATTTGAATGAACTACCGAATATGACGATTATGCCGATAGAATAGTCTTTTCCATAACCAAATAGTTGTTATTTCGATATTTTTAAAATATTTCTATTTAAAAAAAGAATATTCGAACAAACGTCACCAATTTTATACAATACCACCTGCAATTTGTATGCAGTTGGCTGTATTGTATTAATGAATTGAAAACAATTAAAATGTACATTATGATAATATAATATTCATTAATCACAAATAAATATTGAACTATAATTACTAAATAGCAATACAAACTTTTATGTTAATTTATCAGTTATGTCACCAGGACATCGGGAAATCTTCGGGTAGGCTATGGTAAAAATAAGTTATGCAAATCTGGTAAGATCAGATGAGGTAAAGTGAATAACCGGAATAAGTGACTCAACGTGTATAATACAATATAAGATATGATTTGGCTGTTCTATTCTGTTAGTAAAATATAGTGATCGAAGGGCTATTAAATAGGTAGCGGGGATATATAAATTGCGTTGGAGTTCGCAGATAAATAAATATAAATGATTAAAAAAATACCTAATGGTGGTTCCGGGTGGTCAGTGTATCGCCAATGCCAAGAGAAAAAAAAAGGTACTTACTTTGCATGATTATTAGTATACTATAGTACCTATAGCTAAGGTACCTACTGTTCCTATTTTTAACTATTCGGTTGTGCCCATTTAATAAATCTACAACTCGCTATGAAATTGCCAAAGTGATTCAAGTACAGTACAAATAAAACTTTCTCACTACACAGAACCGACGTTATGAAATATTGATAATAACTCGTGGTTTTCAAATTTGAATTATGTAGGTATATCAACCTATACACGATCTATTGCATTATCTCCATTACCTATACTTTCAATATGTAAGCATCTACGTGCAAAATATGGATCGAGCAATTATTCGTATCACAACTCATAAGACAAATTCCCCCAGCACATACTTAATTAATTTTAACGTGTGTTAGGCTTAAGACACATGTGCGCATCCGTTACTCGTATACATACCTAAGTACCAATTATTATAATAAATTATATTATTAATAATGCCACGACCCGACGACCGTTATTTTAATGTTTTGTTACCTAGGAACTTATTACGTATTGTTTGAATCAATGAAATTTGTTTTCGATATAAAAAAAATAAACCTACGGAATTTTTTTAGATATTAAATATAACATTCTTAATTAGATCATTCAGGAAATCGTGTTCATAACAGTTTCTTTTGAAAATTATATGAGAAAACTTATTCGTATATACGTATATTTTTTTTTGTTAACATCACATGAAGATATTTTTTAATGAACATAATTGGCCAAAACCATATAATTTTAATGCAAAACACTTGTCAGACACGTTGTCGGAGAGCGATTTGAATTTCGTATAAAAACTATAGCACATCACTCACCACGCTCGCTCTGTACTTAGATATCAGAATCTAAAATATTATGGGTAGGTATATGCAAAAACAGTCACGTGTTTATTTCTTATTTTGTTTACAATAATGTAGGCATCGTAAATTATAATATTATAAAGTTTGTATGAAATATGAATATAATGGGTAGGTATCTACATTGCGTTTGGATGTATTAGTTTGGTTACTATAGCGATCACACCTACAACAATATGTAAACTTATTTTTACCGGTAGGGTCCGATTTTAATTTGTTTGTTTAATTTGAAATACCCATCAAGGTAGTCATAATGTTATTGATAAATCTGTATAACAGGATTAAATACAAAAATATACTCAAATGTAGGTAAATAAATATTATATTAGGCATGTACACCCACCTGCTTATACGTGTATGTGTATTTGACATTTGTGTTAGGTACCTACTTTAAAAACAAATTTAAAATAATGACATTCAACATCAATAACGTAGCATTCAACTTTCAATACAATTCAGCGGATATCGAACAATTGTCTGATAAAAGTTTGGAAGATTACAGTATTGTTAACAGAAAACACCTGGAGAAAATTATTAATAATTCTGAAAGATGCTTGGTAAGTATAGATATTTGTTTTATGAATAACATTATTATAGGTACTTGTACGTACCTATTTATATTGTGTCATTATAGCGGTATATATAGGTACAAATAGGTAGGAAACAATTAAAAAAATGACAAAATATTTTTAAAAAAATACACCTACTTGCAAATAGAACTAAGATAGTTTTAGGAAAACTAACATTTTAGTATTTTGCTAGGTAGGTGACTGTAATAATAATAAATAATATTAGAAAAATATAATATAAAACTAGTATCTACTTAGGTATCTAATTTTAATTTTATTATATTTTTAGACAGAAGATGAACACCGTTGGTTAATTAAACGGGAGTGTAAAAGAGTAATTTCGGATTTAAAAAAGTAAGTATTTTCTCTAACAGGTGCGTATTAACCATAATACGTGGTGTATATTTGCCGGTCAATAAATTCTAGGATAAATTAAATAAATTAATATTATTAAAACCTGTTTTCTCACTCCACTTGAAAAATAATCTTCATAACTAACTAATTATCAAACTCAACCTATAGACTTTTTTGTTCATAAAATATATGAGTGTAAAAAAATCACAAACATAATTATATAAAAAAAAGAAAACATTTTGAAATTTAATAATATTAACTACTAAAATCGTACCTATATGATTTTAGTTATATCTAATTTAGGTGCATCATTGAATTTTACTGTATTAACTTTAGGTGTACACGTGGAAAGAAATCGACCAACTATGTACGAGAAGAAATGAAAGAAGACAATTGTGTGAAAATGCCATTACATGCTATTAATCGTTATGTATTAAATAGTAATGTGTTTTATTATAATACCATGCCTATTAATAATACGAGTATGTTAAGTATAAAAAACTCTGAAAATGATGCTGCAGTAGTTGCAAGCGATCAAAATAATTGTATAATAAAAAACAATTTTACTATTATAAACGTACGGCAGTTGAATATTAATATTAATAACAGTATTATTAAAAATAATAATGAACAAACGATATTCAATTTTGAAGATATTGGTGTAGAGGAGGACAAATTTAACTCAGAGATATTAATAATGGATTTAGAAAAAATTTACTGGGACAAATGGAGAGATTATGTAAAGAAGAAAATATCTGATAGGGCAAGTAGATGTAGCAAAGTCGATACATTTCTGTTGAAAATACAAGACAAATTAAATTTGGATAGCAAAAAGAGCTCTAAAATAATGAAATCATCAAATAATTTAGCGCCAAAACAGATAAAAACGGTTTGTGATCGTCAACAAGTTAAAATTGAAAATCAAAAAAAAATGCTTGAGAAACAACAAAAGGAAATCGAACGTTTAAAACTCCAGCAGTTGAAATTAGAATCGGAAAAGGCCTTGCTGGAAAATCAAAAAATGTTAGTTCAAACCTATGATAAATCTGAAAAAAGACTGAAGATTAATAAGTACGTCCCACGAAATAATTGTGTTGTAAAAGCCAGTCCGTCCGATATACTTAACAGAATGGAAATAAGAGCTTTAGACCGCCAAGCGAAATGGGAAGCCATTAAAGAAAGACGTCGAATGATGGAACAAGAAGAGCTAAGAAAAAAACAAGAACTTAAAGAAAAATGTTTAAAAGAACAGATGGAACTAAAGCGTAAGCAATTATTTGAAGCTAGAGAGAATTTAAGAATGAAGAGAATCGAAGAAGAAAAACGTAAAGTGGAAAAAGAAATTTGGCGGGAAAACGTTAAAATTGCTGATGAGTTTTATCGAAAGTTGTTATTAAAAAGAGTTCTAGAAGCTTTTAAATTAAATTTAATGAACTTAAGGACACGGATACAAGAAGCATCACATTATTATGATACAAAAATTGTTGAAACTTGTTTTAGTAAATGGAGATTTTTTGTAAATAACAATTCAAATGAAAAAGTACTTTTTGCAGAGCAATTTTATAAGCGGAAATTAATAAAGAAAGCGTTTCTTAGTTTTTTAAAGGTACCCAATTATTTTGTTATAACGAATATAAATAGATTTGTGATTTAATAAATATAACTGAATAATAATATTTCATTAGACTCAGTTAAGAGGACATCATATCTGTATGCACTGTCTCGGTTCAATTAATGGGCGATATAACTAAATCTACATTACGTGGAATGTGTAGAATTTTCTTAATTTTGTTTTTAGTATAAAATCACCTATTATAAAATTAAAAGAGAACAATATTCCGAAACGCAGGAAAATGCGTTTTTCCTATTCTAATTATTTTTTCGAATATAATGTTATATCATTAAAAAATAAAGCCTAATTCATCGTTTTTAAATTACTGTAACAATTCTTTAACTGAATTTTTTAAAAAAAAACGCAGTTATGCCCTCAGGAATAATGTCCCTTTTTAATTTTAGAATAGGTGCTTTTACTTTAAAATTAAAATTAAGCGAGTTCTACACAGTTTGCTTAAGGTAGATTTGCTGTATTGCCCAGTAGTTGACTGACAACACAGGCGGGTACATGTATAACGTTCCCTCAACAGCAACAATATTTATTTTTTCTATAGTGTTGGTTATTTTCTAATAGATCTTTTAAATTATTATGTTGTAAATACTGTGATTTTAATGCTGATTAACACAAATATTTTTATTTAATTTAATATTTTTAGAATTTAGAAGAACGTAGAAAAAAAGAACAAGTTGCTGAGGATTGGAACAATTTTAAAATTCAAGAATTTTGGTTTAAACAATGGCTTAATCATTTAAGGGCAAAGAAAATTGAAATGCACCAAAAAATGTTGGAAGCAGAATCTTATCATAACAAGTAATAAGAACTCACTTTATAAATTTATTTTATTTCTAAAAACTTAAAATCTTTTGACTCCGTCATCTTACCACTGCTTTGGTTATGCTCTCGACCTTTTCTTATATGGTTTTTACATTGGTGTATTAATAATTAACTTTTAATCAAATGACAAGTAAAAATTAAATAAATTATGATTTTAGAATCATCATAAAACGTTGTTTCAATAATTGGAGAAAGTTTCCAGAAATAATATATAAGGAAAGAGTCAAAGGTTGTAGATTACGTTTATGGCACGAAAAGGTTCAAGAAATTTTACCAGACTTTATTCCTCCAGAATAAGAGGTATAAAAATGTATTACTAAAAAATAAACACATTGTATAAGTAAACAATTATTAACTAACTTTAAAATGTATATGTAACTAATTGATAAGAATTTACAATGTTTTGTTCTTTTTTGACTGATAAATATATAAAATATGTATAATTTATAGATAATTTATCTTTTAGTTTATTTACATTATATTTTGGTATACTTATTGAATATTATACAATAAAAGCTATTATTATTAAAATAAATAAATAATTTAGATTGAGTTAAAATTAGTATGTGATTATCAGATATTATTAAAGAATGTTCTCCAGTTAGACCCAACATTCCCAATAATTTGCCTAGATAAAAACCAAGGACGATCCCCTTTATATTCTTTACATCGCTCTTGCCACTCGTGGTAGGTGATTCCTAATGATACCATATATGTATCATAAAGAAACATAAATAATAAAATAACTGCAACTGCAAAACAGTAAAGTCCAGATACAAAACAAATACCATACCTAGAAGAAAATAATACAAAAATCAAATTATAGTTATGAGAAAAAAAAAATCAATTATTTCTGAATCAATGTCTATTAGTATTCAGTAATACATATTTGATTATGAGTAATACGTTAGTAAAATTAGTATAAAACATTAATAACTCATATGAATTTTAATGTAGTATATTATAACATCTATATAAAAATAAATATAATGTAACTTTCTAACTAACTACTTTACATAGTTTTTAACTCAACAGTTAATCTTTTGGTAAACTGATATTGAAACAAATTCACAAAATTATATTGGGGGATTTAAAATAAAATATTTACAATTTTCTTACACTATATCGTAGTAAACATCACTGCAGTCGTCTGGTAACAATACTGTCGCAAACACATTAAAAGGATGACACAGTGTAGTAAGAATGAGATTTGATAAAAATGTGAACAAAATCGCACCTAATATGAGACCTGCAATATATGGTTTTCTGTTATGTTTTCCAATGCAACAGTCTATCCTGTACAAACAAAAAAAACATGTTAAAAATATATTTATCATACTTCAAATAAATAATAGAAATCTTACCAATAAGAATGTACGTGTTGTTGGATTACACAGGTTTTACATACAAAGCAGTGATATGCCCTTGGCGGTACAACCCTTTTACATGGACTACATAGAATATCTTCAGTATCATCTAATAAAATAGCATTTTCATCTACTTCGTTTTCATTGAGATTAGTCATTTCTAGATCTTGTTTTAAATGAGATTTAATCGCCAATTTCTTAGTACGGAAGAAACAAACTGCTGTTGCTACCATAAAAATGGTAAAAATAATATTTTCATCAGTATTAATATCTAACATATACACCACTAGAAATTGGAATATTATGAACACCAATGAAGCTGAAGTTAATGTCCATACGTAAAAGAACTTTGTGGCCACTCTATACTTGCGAACAGTGCGATGAGTATAATAAAGGAACAATGTAACCAGTGAAAATATTAATATTGTTGGCCAAAAACCTTGAGCTGCAAAATAAAGAGCAGCTGGGAAAAGTAATAATGGAACTGCTGAATCTAAAGAAATACGCCTTGCTCCTCCTCGCCATGGAATTCTAAATCGATCTTGAATATTTGCCACCATTATATTTATTTCTATATCTCTAGAAGGTGGACATTTCAATAAACTGAAATAATGTAAAAAATAAAATGTTAATAATATGTATTATTATTACCAATGCAATTTAGTACACAGAAACCAGAGTGACAGAAAATGAAAAGAGAGAAAATTGGTTATTTTAAATAATACCAATTAAAATAGATAAGTTTAGAAAAAGACAGACATACTTTGGACAATGGGTGAGTCACTATTGTAGGTGAGAAGTTAGGTAAGATATAGAGACAAATTTAATGTACATCTGCATGTAAGGATTAATTATTGCTAACAAAAAACGATTCTGAGCAAAATTCAGATATATATAATTTGAAAGGCTATAATATTTAAAATAAAATTTAATATTAAAATTCTTATAAAAAAAATTCTACATTTCACTCAATTTTTTTGTTTGACCACAAAGTACGACTTATAATACTCTTGTTAAATTTTCAAGTTTTTCTGTTTGATTTAACAATTTTATCTACAGAGTACCTAATGAATAAAAATTACGTACAAATCTTACAAAATTTAAATATCTATAAATAGCTCAAAAATGACTAAAATGTTTTGAAGAATGTATTACATTTATAAAAGGCAAATAAAATTTTCTTTGTAAATTTCAAGTCTCTACGAATAGTTTTATTTGAATCACAACAAAAATAAAATTGAATATAATATATTGTTAATTTTTATAAGTTTTTTAAATTATTATGAAAACTGCTTCGAAAATTAAAAAATGACCGGCTTACTTAATGTATCACGCAGATAAAGTTTCCTTTCAGAAAAGACACTACACTAGATATATCAAATCACGATTCCTGGAAGAAAAGTTGTTTACAGATAAAAAAACAAATTAAAAATTAAACATCATTATAAAACCAAAATATTCTTCGAATGCGCTAGATTTTTAATTTGTTAATAAATCTTGATCAACAAATCAAATTAAAATAGATTTGTTACAAAATAGTACATAATTACATATTTATTTAAAAATTGTTTAGATAAATATTAGTAATTATGAATGAAAAGTAAAGATTACCAGATACAAATGGTGTAGAAGACAACAACCTGTAATAACTACTAGTAATGATTTATAAATCTTATTTAAACTTTCCAGAATTAATATTTTTGTAAACCTACTGTGCCTACAATTAGTTTCTGAGTAGCAACTAGTAAGTAATTTTCAGTAAGATAGAAAAACAGAGAGTACTACTATAATATAAGTAATAAGTGAAATAATATTTTAAATCTTTAATTATTTATAATTTTTTTTTTTTAGTTTTCTGTAATTATTTATTACTGGAGGTTAGGACTTATCCTTATAAGAAGTTTGCATTTTTAAAAAAACAGGATGGTGATCATCAAACTTAGAAATTTGGATAACTGATTAAGAAAATCATCAATAATTTAATTTTAAAGTTGACAAAATAAATAATTTCTTCTTTTTTTTTTTGTATTTGGACATGATAATCTTTATATTTATTATATTAAAATGACTAAAATGAATTATTTATAAATGTGTCATTTATCAAAGGTCAAAATAATAGGTAAAAACATGTTTGTAAGCCGGCAAATTTGGTGTTAGTATTTCAAAAATATTTAAGTACATAGTTTAAGCATATTTGAAACTAATAATCATTTATTATTTTTTAATGCTTACATAAATCAATACCTACATACATATATTGGATAGAGGCTGTGTGTCCAAATGGTGCCACTGAATCTTGGAAATTATAATTATATAATTTTTAAAAACTTTTTCATTTTATTATTGGGTTTTACTAATCTATTTCTAGTAAAAATGTACAAATTTTAAACTAAAATAATTCTCAGTATTAATGAGTCTATAGTTGAGGAAAAAATGATTCTCTTTCTTCATATATATAATGAAAAATATAATTTTATTTAAATAAACTATAAAATAAATAAAAAATTACAATTATTATTAGTAATCTAAAAATGTATTTAAGTATAAAATTGATTCTTTAGAATAGAATTGTAGCCACATAATCAATCCCCATTATTAAAAACTATAATTCAACATTCCATAGACAACATAGTGAAAATTATAAACTGTAGTTGTTTAAAAACTAATTTTAGATTTTATACTATTGTAAATTATCATTCAACACAAATTCTATAAGTTTATAAGATACCTTTTAATCAATTATTATTAATCTGCCTTACTTTAATATCTTCCGAAATATTGTTTACATTATTCATAGTTTTTATTTTTAAACTTGTTATTAATTGTATTAGCGGACTTTAAATAATAGGGAAGGAGGTTACAAGGAAAGTTATTTATATTTGTTAATAAATTTAATTCTATACACTTATTAAATACATGTTATATCTATCAACAATAATGTATTATATATTCTTACAAGTATGTTTAAAATATTTAAAAATGGCATAGATATCAATAACATTATTTGACAATAAAATAAAAATATATTATTTAGTTTGTGTGTATTTATAACTGGTTTTGATTTAAAAATTATCATCAGCCAATATAGTACAATGAAGGCGAATTATGCTTGATAATGATTTTTAAAATCAAAACTAGTCTTAAGTATATACAAGTTATATAATATTCTAAGCCAAGTTTATTCTTCATATTTTATAGTGTTAATCTCAAAAACTATGTTTTTTTTTTAAATGATCCAATTAGTTTGATTTATTAAAAAATTTAAGGTTATTATAATTTATAGAAAACAAAAATTATATGAATTATTTTGTATGGACATTCCAATAAAAAACTAAAACAATTAATAACAGAACCAGCAGGCAGAATAATATAAGTGTTCAGTATAATTACTTTGAACAGCAGTTTCCACAAGGCGGACAGATACAAATATCAGGAATTATGGTAGACTTTTCTTCATTCATGTTAATATATTCACAGCAATGTAAATTATCTGATTGATTGTTATTCATTTGTGAGTAATAATATAAAATATCACTTTCCAATTTTATAAGACATAATTATATGATCATGATTTTGGATTGAATACACTTCTACAACATAATATAAAATATATATTTATTTACAAATTTTATGAGATTTACATTAATTATTGAAAAAAAAAAAAAAAATAATAAAACTAAAATTTTTTTGTTAATATTAAGTTATTCCATTGGGAGAGCGTCTTTATTTCTTCCAAATATAATCATGTCGGCTTTGGGTTGAGCATTTTTGCCATATCCACCTCGTCCAATATCGTAATCAGTTCTGTATTCATCACGGACTTGTCCACCTGTTTTTCCACGTCCATATTGTCTGCCTTCCACGAACCCAGCATCCCAATCTGTACGTATAATTCGGTCATCAAGTCGAGTACCATTTACATATCGCATGCAATTCTCTGCATCTTCTCTTGTATAATATTCAATAAAGCAAAAGCCACAAGGTGTCTTTTTAAACTTGTCTAAGCCCATAACGATTCGTTTGATATCACCACATTTTGAAAATAACTCATATATTTGTCCTTCTGTTGTATAGAATGCCAAATTGCCCACATACATAGTGGTCGACAAACGCAAAAGTTTATCAAGTTCTGATCGAGAACCTTTGAAATGTTGATCTCTATATGAACTTAGGTCAGCCATAGTAGGTAAATAATTATGTTTCTCTAAATATTAAATAATTATTTGTTTACTTACAAGACCCTTTAAACAATCCGTTAGAAAAATATATAAATTTAGGAAGTTGAATTTAACAATTTTATACCAAAACAATTCGGACAGACGCAAATGGCAATGTGCTGTAGACATAAATAATAATTGATAAAAATATAGATAAGAAAAATGAAGAACTGAACGTATAACCAATTTTATAAACATAACATAGTTGTGGTATCATAAAAACCATGGTCGTGGTCTAAATGATCACAATTATCTTATACCACTAATACCACGTACACATGATTTTTTTTCTAACCTAAAATCTAACCAAAACAATATTCACTTCTTCTTGAATTCTACTTTGTGTTTTCGGCGTATTCGGATTTTCATCCAAGGTAATCTTAGTTTATATTAATTATTAAAACTTTTTAAAATTATTAATTATTACGGTAAGTTCTAAATTTTATTATTTTAATAGACGTTTGTAATTTGTGTTAAATTTGTTGTGTTTTGACTTCAACGGTAATGTCAACCAAATCCAAACTCCTTTCTGACATTAGGTTTTTATTTAATAGTCTTACATATTTTGTACTATTCTTATGTAACAAACTTACACTTATGAAACATCTTACTTCATTAACAAATCATTTAAACATAATTATGTTTTAAATGTTATGTTATTTATGAACTAGAGGTTTTACTTAGTTGGGTTATTTTAACCTATACTTGTTTACATGCTTTTTCATAATGACTATCATCACTTTATTTTAATAACATTGTAAATCATTTTAAAGAAATGTTAGAATTTGCTCAATTTAGATAAACTCAAATTTATTCAAATAGTTTTGTCAAAAATAACAAAAATGTAGGAACTGTTGATAATTCAATTAAAACAAGTGTCTTAACTTATGTTATATTTTATATAAAATACTTTCATTTTTAAAATATTAATTTTTTTTCATATTTTAGATGAGGACCATCAACGCTAATCAATCTGTGAAAATCCCTGAAGGTATTGATATCAAAGTCAACAAAAGGATTATAACTGTCAAAGGGCCCCGTGGTACATTGGAAAAAAATTTCAAACATTTGGCTGTGGACATTTATTTAAAAAATCCAAATTTGTTAACTGTTGAAAAATGGTTTGGCACCAAGAAAGAATTGGCTGCTGTTAGAACTATCTGCACACACGTTGAAAACATGATCAAGGGTGTAACCAAAGTGAGTACTGTGATATAAAATTACTTATAAATTTTATATTTTTTGCAAATTTATTTTTTATTTTTTAGGGTTTCTTATACAAAATGAGAGCCGTGTATGCCCATTTCCCCATAAACTGTGTAACTTCTGACAATAATTCTCTAATTGAAATTAGAAACTTTTTGGGAGAAAAATATATTAGACGTGTTAAGATGTCGCCAGGTGTTACAGTAACTAACTCAAAACAAAAAGACGAGTTAATTGTTGAAGGAAATGACATTGAAAAAGTGTCTCGATCAGGTGAGATAAAGATTAATTATATAATGAGCAAAACAAAAATTATTAATTATGATTAATATTTTTTAAATCATTATATTTTTTATTTCAATATAATAATGAAGACTTGTGTTCAATATTTAATTAAATTTAAAAAATTATTTTATTTTGTGTATTTAGAGGGTTTGAATTCATTTATTCACATTTAACTATTTTTTTTAATGCAATGCAATCATAATGCATGTTGATAAAATAATTTTAAGCTAAAAGTATAAAAAATTTATTAACATTACACCTCAATGCTTCACCAATTTTATACAAACCTATTGAAATTATTTGGCTCTCTTGATAAGCTTGTATTTGACTCGTATGTTTAATTTTACAACTACATTTTCTGAATATTATTTATTTTTAATTTTTATTGTTCTTTTAAATTAAGAAAAAAATAGATTTTGGACACATTAAATACAACAAAAACACTGAGGAAAACATTTATTAAGTTGCATATTAATGTTTTATTACCGTTACAAGAATGTTGGATTTACAATAATATTTATTTATTTTTTCTGTGAATAACTTTTATACCTGAAATTTTGTTTTGATTTTCAAATTTAACCTTTCTGAATTGAAATTTTTGTGTGGTAGTACTTTGGAGAGAACATTTTTTGATTTTTCCAGGGATTTTGATAATAAATTGGAGAAAACTCGAAAAATTATGAACTATATTATTTTCAAATCGTTAATATTACGGCCTTTAATAACATGTGTAACCAAACTTTGCTCAGAATAGTTTTTTTTGTTAAAAATGATTAATTGTTGCGTACAGATAAACATTAAATTTTCGTTTTACCTTCTCTATTTCTCACCTACAATTGTGACCCACCCATCGTACGAAATATGTCGGTTTTTTGTTTATTCCTATACTAATGGAAAGCCTATAATAAGAGAGCGGCCACTGGTGTTGTCATTTATAATAATTTCACGTTTTCAATGATGCAATTTTATCCAAAATATATTTTCAATTAACATTTTAATGTTATAATAATTGTTTTCAAATAGTAAACTAGTTTGGGTTTATGATATAGTATTTGCGTAATTGTATTAGTTCAACCAATCTATACTCAATTCACTTTAAGAACAGTAATTGGCGGCCATACGTTTTCCGTATCACGCCCAAGTGCAAAACGTGGCTGCTGAGTACCGTTCTTAAAGTAAATGGTGTGTATATTTTTATCAGTTTAGAGGATGTGATATTTAAATTTACTGCCACAGTCGAACTAAAGGGCAAAATAGCAAAAGCCTGCTTATATAATATTATGTAATTAAGTTTTAAATTGTTATTATTAATTTCTACCTTTTGTAAGCATTAAAATTATTCAAGTGTAGGTAAACATCCACTTACACATGTGTGATATTTATTACTAAAACTAAATCAATATATATTTCAATTAGGTTCATTCATTAAAAATTTTAATAATCTATAAGTGGGTTACTTGGGGCATCTGGTTGATTTTTATTTTTCATTTTAAAATAATATGTACGGAATTTCTCTCCTTTTTATTATTTTCTTATAACATATTATTGTTTTTGAAAGATCTGACCTATCACTTAATTAGAGTTGGCTGTAATATTTTCAGATAAAATAGTATACATTTTCCTAAATTTATCAGCTGCTGGATTTGGATGTTCTTAATTACAGCTGATAGAAAATCCGGTGGAGGTAAAGTAGTCAATCAAATTCTCTTATCAGCGATCCACTATTTTTTAGCTGATTGACTATAAAACCAGATGGATTTGTTTGTGCTAAGTCATTGATATGAATATTTGATAAGGTTAATTAATTTAACTTTATATTAATCTTTTAGAAGTTAAAAGTATTAAAGTATACAAATATTTACAAAAAAGGAATCCTATTTATTCATAGAGATATAATATACTTAAGATGTAAATTAATACTCATACAGTCTGGTTAGGTTAGATATCACTGTCATTCTTAAAAATAATTGCTGATAATCAGATTGATCTCTTTTCACCAGCGGCTGACTAATCTGCAGAATTTAGGAACACCCAGAATATATTTATATTGATTACTGAAAAATTGATTGAATGTTTCTTAAAAATTACTTCTGGGAATTTTGTAGTAGCTAATAAAATAAGTCTTCATAAATTATATTCAGTTCAATAATATCATAATCATATTCTTTTTTTTTTTTAATCATTAAGATTACTGTTCATTTTTGAATAGTTTTTAGATTTTGATAACTAATGATTATTGTTTGTTTTAGCTGCTTTAATTCAACAGTCGACTACTGTGAAGAACAAAGACATCCGTAAGTTCTTGGACGGTTTATATGTATCTGAAAAGACGACTGTTGTACAAGAAGAATAAACTTAATAATTGTATAAGTTATAATTGTGTTTTTTTTATTTATGAACTATAAGATTCTTTGCTTTTCCCTAATCCCTTTTATCAGTTGGTAATTTTCATTAAAAAAAGTTATCGATACTAAATTTATGTGGTGTGGCTCTTATTAATTATTTATAATAATATAAAACTTGTTGTGTAACCTAACCAGCCCGGTTACTTAATATCTAATAGTATCTAGTAGTTGTTAACAAACAATAAACCAATACATTTGTTGCGTTCTGAATCTAATATATATTTTTTAATTTGAAGAAACGTTTGTAATCCATAGTTTGTCAACACCCTTAATATTTATATGAAAAAATTTCACCATTTTTTGTAAGAAGTATAATTTTAGCAAACATTGAGTTCAAAAATGGCCCAACTGTTTTCAAGTCTATTAATAGTTTTCACTGAATCAACAAAATTCCAAAAAAAAATAATACTTTCCAAGATAATGAATGTACCCACTTGAATGTATCCCACTTGATATTTATTGATGTGTATAGTATTGCTTGATATCAGGTGCAAATATATACGTCAGTATTATTTTTACTATAATTACAATCTCAATAATCTGTCGTGAATCGTGATGCATGTTTTTGTTTTGCTTACCTCTTAAATTTAATAAATATTAAGCCACTAAGAGGACGCTACACTGGTGGTCAAAACATGTTGACGCAGTCTGAGTAGAACTTGTACTCACGTCATCAGTTTTTGTTGCCCTACAATTTGTTGAAGATTTTGGAAATCTGAATATTATTGTGGTTGTTGATCTATATTAATATTTAATCAGTAGAGTACTTACATCAAATGATAAAGATTTTCTTTTCCATGATTTAATACAATCATATACATGCAAATGCTTCATACAACTGTTGAAAATTGTATACCTAAACAAAAGTTTCAGCCATGAAACTTTCTAAAAATGTTTTAGGTATGTCTTTATCGATTTAATCTTTTTCTTGGGATAATGAACTAAGGGAAATGTTTTTCAGATGGTTTTGAACATGTTATCGGGCATGCTCTTCGTTGTCTAAACACTGTTGAAGTTGGAATCAACTTTTTTCAGCATAGCAACGGGTATTGCTATAACAAGTGTTGACTATTACTTGACGAATATCGTCTTAAATGTGAGAGGTTGTTGGAACGATTGGTGTAAACCAGGAGTTTAATATGGCTCCAGAAGAAGAGAGTTGATCAAAACCGAAACCTCATACTTTGACTGTTCAATTTTTTAAACAATAATTACTACCTAATACTTTTTAGATTTTAGAGCATATCGAGGAATGTATTGGTTTTACTATGATATGAATTTTTTCTATCTGTTGACAATTTATTTACCAGAATGCTTATTTCGATTTGGAAGCGTAACATCTTTTTTGAAATCGAATTTCATCAAATTGGTGTTTTGTAGTGAACAGATCGTTGATTGTTGCTTTTTTAATAATTGAGAAAAATAAGTTAGAAAATTGGAAATATTTACGGCATTAACGATTTCAATATTTTCGATTTTGTTTTTTTGTTTTAATTCGATTAAAAATATCTGCAATTTTCATAAAACACTTATATTAGTATTTTCTAGGCATAGTCAAATCTTCAAATCGTTTTGTCCGATTTTTAAACTAATAAGTATTATAGACATGTGACATGTTCTAGTCTTTTTAGTTTTATTTGGTTTTATATGGATAAAATTATCTTGGCCAATCAGAAATACTTGACAGTAAAATTATACTCGAGGTTCGCTGTAAATTATTGTGAAAAAATTTGAGTTTAATGTAATTTTGTTTATAAGTTCAAACTGATGTATTTTCAAAATACGTTCAATAAAACTTCGTTCAGAATAGTTTTTGACGTTAGCGATGTGCACGAATGACGAACGCCACCGGAAATAATGCGAAACAATGATGATCTGTCTGACTGTATAATATACTTTACACATTATATCAATATAATAATGTAATAATAATAAAATATGTTAGAGTAATATCGAGTGATACTGGCACGGTAAAAAAAAAAAAAATATAAAAATAAATAAATAATACAAATTATAACATGTAACGTTAAGAAAAAAAAAAAAAAATAAAAAAATATAAGCGTGAAACAAATAATATACCGCGATGGAAAAATACAAAATAATATCATTGTACATATAAAGAAGTAGTAATATACGAATAATTTACTATTCGATGGTTGGGATTTTTTTTTTTTTTTTATTTTTTTTTTTTGTGGTCAAATTCAACTATATTGGTGGTATCGTAATCGTTATACTGGACGGCGGTCGTCATCGTCGTCGTTTATACGGGAGTGTTATTAAAACTCTGAGCGACTCGTTCGTTTTGTTCTTGCATCACAAACGTGCCGTTAACGTGCGCTTCTTCTTCCGGTTCTTTTGCGTTCGGATTATTATTATCGTCCTGACAAAAAAAAAAAACAAAAATAAACGACAAACGTATAATTTCGAATATTATTTAAAACACTATAATTATATTGGATCGATTAAGTGGGTATTTTAGATTCGGCGTGGAGCGATAATGCTATTGGTTTTGCTAAGATGTGATTTTACCCAGGGAAAACACTCGTGTCGTATACCTTAAGTGATACTCGATGGTATCTATCAGTGGGTGTTAATCGAAATTTTTTTTTGAAATTCCCAATACTTTTTCCAGAAAATCGCTTTTGCGGTTATTTTAAAAACACTTTTTAGTTTAGACGAATGACGCATCAATTTTGTTTTTCTATAGAGTACCTCAATGATCTCTAATGACGGGGAATTTTAACCTGTCAATTCAGTATTTTGAAGAAAAAAAAGCATTTCCAACATTTCCGAACAGCTTTTCTACGAAATTTAAAAAACTCGCAAACAAATGTCGATACACATTAAATTTTATTTTTATCGATTTCTGAAAACGCACACGACTAAGTATTAATATAAACATTATCCCGCTCAAAGTCGTATTTTCGCTTGCAATAATTTCACTGTGCATCCAAACTTTCCACCTGTTCACCTATGACAGTGGCCTACCCGTGAGGAATATCATCTTTTTTTTTATAATCATATTTATGTACACATACTCCGGCCCGCCGTAAGATATTTTCGCCCCAAAGCGAACATTTTGATGCCGGTCTTTTTCGACGGTTGTTAATTTCATTTTGCCGCCTTAATGCAACGCATGGCTTGCTTGTACCCTAGCGACGGGCCTGCACATACTATTAAAAATAATTATAGGTATTCATCCGAGTTCTGAACCGAAACTGTTAAAATCGCATTACTCGCTCCGTTATTTGTTCTCGTCCACGCTAGTAATTATAACCCCACTTCTTTTTTTTATTTACTACGTCAAAGATATGTAAATTAATGATTGCACGTTATTTTTATGGTAATCTCCATATTAATGTAATGCAAATTCATCCAAATTGTTTGTCGCGAATATAATAATGTAAAATATACTATTGTGTTATAGGACAACGCCCAGATATCAAATAAATAATTCATTTCGTAATTATAATTAATCTGCACCAGTGGCGTAACTAGAACTTATAATGCCCGTGGCAAAATATTGTAGATTTACCAAATTGTGGGCAAAGTGCAGAGCCGGCGCTATGTATGTGAGTGTACGACTATTTACAGTCGAAAATTATACAAAAGTAAAAAAAAAAAAAAAAGGCTATTAGCGAAAGATTTATAGATTCCGATTCTTATTGAGGCTTCGTATAAAGGCTGTTAAGCCTTAATAAAAACCATAAACCCCCATCAATAATTGCTAGCCCCGGCCAAATGCCACTATTCGAGTTGGGTACCAATTTACACAGTCTGGAGTTTGTTTTCATACATCTGTCCGTCCATCCATGTTACTTGATAAACGAAAAATATGGCAATCGTCTGTTTCTTTGTTCACCTGTCCATTCGTTGAAAAAAAAAATAAAAAAAATATGCTTTGGGCCCCGATTTGAAGCACTTAAATGTCACTGGCCCGTGGTTCATTGCCCATAATGCCACCCTGTAGGTACGCCACTGATCGCGTGCACCACGCGGGACGTTTTACCCAACACCTAAATCGTCATGTATAAACAGACAATTTTCGTATTATTTTTCTGTTCTTAAATCCGTTGTTTGTTCTTCGTCGCTTTCTAATGTTATATGTCGCCTGTATAATGTTAGAACGTTACCATTTCCGTTTGTACTTCTGTGTGTTCGTTAATTGCGGAAGAACGTACGATTCGTCTGTATCGATTAGTTGTTGAATAATTGATGTGTAATATTGATATATGTACTTGTGTGTTTATTTATATAATTATCATACGGCCCGAAAATTGGCGGTAATTTACCGCAATCAATATATCTGCTTAATTGTTAGGTCAAAATTCAAAGGTTATATTATAAATTAATGTATATACGAAATGGCTAAACAAAAAAAAAAAAAAAATAAAAAGAATATTATAGAAACCTATTAGAATTATTATTAATTAATGATTGCGAACACTGAAGAGTCAATTGTTTAGCCGCGGTTTACGTTTGAAAAAAAAAAAAAATCACTGTACCAATTATCATGATTGTTGATTAAATAATATACTCAAATATAATAATACACACGTATTGTATATTATATACAGGTGTCATACAGTGTCTAATATACAGCTAATAACTTTGTCGATGTTTGTTTTGTTTTTTTTTTTTTATATATTTCTTTTTTTCAATCGGGTTTTGTGCGAAAGGCACACGTTTGTAGAGAAAAATTAAATTTGTATTTTCATCTTTTAATCACTAGACAAATATAAATTTTTGTTTTTATTTTTTATTAAATTTTCAAAATAGCCATTTTGTAAAATACACGTTATTTTAAAAATTTTAATATATCATATGTTCGCATCTGATCAATAGTTTCTTAGCAATGACCTTTGTAATTTTTGAAAAATTGACGTTAAATTGGCAAATTATCGTGCTGAATGTATTTCATTATCGCGTACGTGTTATTCGATTGAATATTAATTGGTTTCATGCTTATTTTCTATACATCAAAGCTATTATAATTAAGTAACTATTAATCGGGTATGAATGTATGATACGTTCAAATTTTTAGAACAATATATTTTACAAAAATGGTTATTTTGGACATTTTAAATAGGGGAAAAATAAAAAGTTATTTTTTTAGTGATTAACCTGTTGACTGTCACGGGTTTTTTCTCGTACATTGCCATAAATTCAATGAGTACAAAAAATTGTACACACTTAAACGTGCTGTTTGATTTTGAGTGCGAAATGTTGTACTCACACTGTGTTTGATTTATACGCTATGTGTACAAAAATGTGTTTACATTCCCATTCCATAGAATAGGGAAATTGCTTATGAGGCCTGTTGAAAGTGTTTTTTTTTTAGTTGTCAAAAAAAAAAAAAAACCACAACTTTTTTGAACCCTATAATATATTTAATTTGAATTAAAATCTCACTGTATTTTCCAACATATTGTTTTTACTTTCATTTTACTGAGATTACATAAAGAGCTTTTTGTGGAATCCAAATAGAAATTTAATTTTTCTCTACATAATATATGCGTGTCTCTCGCACAAAACACGATTTAAAAAAAAAAAAAATGAATATTGATAGAACCATTAGCATAAAGACAACACTGTGGGACACCGTGTATCTATATTAAATTTTCTTCAAAGCTGGGTGAAATTTCAAATAAATCGATTTTCAAATCGATAACGACAGTGGCATAGTACGTTTCACCCGATCGTATGATAAATTATTCTACACACGTCTATAATACCAGTGTAATGAATGATATTGTATAATTACGAATTATGCAGGAGTGGGTACGTACCTATAATAACGGGTTTTTACTCATCAAACCTCACCAACGTCAGAACACAAGGAGTGTTATTAAAACAAACAAACATTACAATGCAAGTCGACACGGGCTAGGTATAAAAATACCGTGCGTACTACGATTGCGCCCGTTTGACCTTTTTACCCGCGAAAAACGCAACACGGTTGTGCTCCGAAAAATATAAGTGTTGTCATTTTTTACCCGCCCCACGTACACACAGTACGGTCGATGACCGGGTTAAAAATTGTTTTCAATAAACACAATAATATTAAATTACGCAATTACCGTTCATATATTAGTATTTATGTAGCACACAAAAATATATTACTTACATACAAATATTAATACACGATCAAAACAATGTCAAATCAATGTGGCCAAAATACTACGTACTAATTATCCTAAATAGATTCGTTATATTTTCTAAATTAATTTATGTTTCCGTATAACTACGTATACCTATAGCTATACCATAATATTGGTCATAGGACAAAATTAGAAAAAAAAAATTAAATATCCTTTAAGCTATTTGTGAATAATATCATGAACGCAACTTTAAGCAAGTCAGCGTTGTATATGCGGCGGGTGAAAAAGGACAACGCCTATATATATGTTTCGGAGCGCAATCGTGTTGTGTTTTGTCGCAGATAAAATGATAAAACGAGAGCACGAAAATACCAATAGTTTGGGATAAACAAGAAAATAACAAATTTTGTGCCTGGATATTATTAATATGATTAGTATGCCTACACGTTTTCTAAAAAGAAAGTTATTCATTAGCCGTGGGTATAACATATATTAGTGGCAAGTATAGGCTGGTTATAATAATATACCATAATTATTATTATATACAGGGTGATCGATTTATCGTAAGACAGTCATTATCTCGGAAAATATCAACGTTTTCTGGAATTTAGTTTCTAGAATATTTAAAAAGCAAGCTGCTCTACAATTTTATATTTATGTTACTTCGTTTCACCCTTATTTTTACGGCTAAAACCAATAAGTATATACTTTTGATTTTCATACGGCAACCTATGTTAAAAAAATCCATAAATAGACGGAGCAGCACTGTAGCAGTTGAAATACATTTTGGTGTTTAAATTTTTTATTTCAGTGAATCCGTTGACGAGATATTTCACTTTTACGTTTAGGCCAGGGGAGAGAAGTGGTACATTCTTAAAACTCTGCGCGCTGTGCTGCCGCCACACAAACGATGCTCCATCAACATTAACATCAACATAAACATCAACATTTATTTTAACTACTGCTTCATCTATTTATGGAATTTGTAATATAGGTTGCTATTTGAAAATCAATAGTAAATAATACTTTCACCCCCAAAAATCAGGGTGACAAAAATAACATAAATGTAAAATTGCAGAGTTGCTTGTTTCTATAATTGTCTAAAGTTCCCAAATTCTATTTGAAAAACTTACTTTTAGGTACTATATTATTATTATGCTATTATATTGTTTACCTCTAATAATTCTTCTTTGGACAAATGTTGAACAATGGCCACCGTGTAACAGTCTCCGATAAGATTGTTCATGGTCCTGAATCGGTCTCTGTCTCGATCAAATAATCATAAATAGATATTAATATTATACGGACGTTTTATTATCGAATGGACTGTTTTTTTTTTTAAATCAATATAATAATAATTATTCATAGTATTTTACTCACACGAGCCAATCGACGGCAAATAGCAGGGACACGTCTTCGGTGGGCAAATTGATTACACTGCACAACATTACGACCAGAACAATGGCAGCAGAAGGGATGGCCGCCGAAGACATACTGGCAGCCGTGCAAGCCAATCTGTCGGGCCGTAAAATATTACCGTATTACACATTTCAATATATTCATAAATTGTTATTTTAGTACTGCGGTGGGTCGGATCGAGCAATACGCATTATGTTTGACATGTTCTGTAGATTATTCGTATCAAGCGAGTAGCGTTTTCAAAACTATTCATCTCCCACTCTTTGATGTATAGGTTATTTATATAGGAACACCCTTTAATAATTGTAATATCATACCCGATAGTGAAAATATCTCCAATGCCCAATTGTAAATTATTGATTTGCGCTAAAAATAAAAGTGCGATACTAAGGTACAGTGCAGAACCATCCATATTGATCGTGCCGATCGGCAACACGAATTTAGTGATCTTTGGATTCATCTTTAATTTTTCGTCTAATACTTTAAACGTTATCGGAAGTGACGCTGACCTGAAAACACGACATTTAAATAAATAATAATATACCTAATAACTGAATCATTTAATATTTAATTTCATATATTATAACATGGTTATATGATTCGATTATTAGATATGTGAAGTTAGCGGAGAAGGTATATAATAAGGAATATGATATGATGGGCATGGGGACCAGTAACTATAGTTTCATCGAGGCTTAAAGAACCCAATGTTTAGGCTATCCTTTGAAAAGAGAAGAAAATGATCTACTAAAAGCAGCTTTCGAATTGACATTTTAAGGTAGACGACTGAGTGTCAACCTACAAAAGAGATGGAGCGATGGAGTTGTGGAGGATCTGAGAGAAACGTGCATAGAATATTGGAATTCAATTATACAAGACTGAAATAAGTGGCGTGACATTGTGGTGATAGCTAAAACCCTTAAATAGTAGGTTTGCCAAGAGAAGAAGAAGAAAAAGAAGAAAAAGAAGAAGAAGAAGAAGAAGATAGTATGATTAGTACAAGTAATTTATCATCTCGGGTTGTCGATTTCGATCGTTTATTATTGCGATGATACTAAAATCGTCTTACTTGGACGCCGTGGCAAAGGCGGTGGCGAGCGCGGGTCCCAACGACAGGTAATACGGCCACGGTGACTTTTTCAAGATGACGAAATAAATGAGTTGCAAGACGATGAGCTGATAGAAAAGGAAACCCCCGACAGTTGTCCCGATGAACATACTGAGTTGGATCAGTGTGGAGGTGAGATCCGCCAAAGTGATGATCTTACCGCATATGACGCTGGCCACCCCGAGCGGCGTAAACCTATAGAGACGTTCTGTAATATAGAGATTATATGCGTGTGCATGCAAAAACTACGGTTGGTATACGCGCTGAGGATATTGAGGATATTTTTTATAAAAAAAAAAAAACGGCCATTATTACTATTTTAAATTTCGTTCAAAGCATAATGCGAAATAATTAAAATATAATTTAAAAACAAAATTCTAACGAAGGTAAGATAGTCACGGAAAAAAAAAAAAAAAAATACAAATTATTTCCATTTCCATTTTTGTATCTTCCTCCGGTCATTTTGGTACATAGCTATTTTTACCGGGTCATTTTTGGTTTGGCCATTATTACCTAGAATCGTATGTTTATAAAATAATTCAGTTTATAATTGTACACAATATTATGAAGGGATCGGTAAAAAAAAAGTTGGCGGTTTTTAATCGGCGCAATAATACCCAGGAATAAACACATTTCATTACCTACTGGTTTAAACTATATGTGTACCAACGGATCCTACTGTAGGTGTATAACTCGATTTATCAAATTTTTATTTTATTAATTTTCCTATGCCAATTTATAGATTGAGTGCCTGAATAGATATATAATTTATATACTGTGCATGTGTGGTAATGTGTGGTAGGCAGTATGAAAGTATTTTTAATCTGCACATCTATTGAAATTGGAATATTATTGAAAGTGTAATAGATCGATGCGTTCGACTGCGGCGGCAGTACACATGCAAAAAAAAAAAAAATGGACGAATAAAAATGTGACCGCGGTTCTAGAGTCTAGAGTCTATCAGTGGTATAACCGTGGTAACAGTCTATAGTTCTCGCAGTCGATACATAAATAACAAGTACGTATGTCGATTCGAAATGTACACGTTTATTGTGCTAAATTGTTATTGTAATTAATTTACCAAGTTACAGTGTGGTAGCCACTGGTAATCCGAAACGAAAGTTCAAAACACCTTAAGCCACGTCCATGCCTTAACACGCATTCTGACCGAACATACGAACTCGTCTAGACGAGCCACAGTCTGTCGGTCTTCGGACCGTCCTCAAAGGAAATCGGCTCGCGAGCGCCTGGTCGTGCTCAGGCGTGGCCGCGGCTTTACACTATTATATCCCCGTAGCGTCTGTCCGTACGTATAGTTATTGGTACACGTAATCACGGTCGGCGATTTAGTTGACAAGGATGTGTATAGTATTATTATTATTATTATTAATTTAATGGGCGTGTCACTGTTTTAATAGGGAAATCGGAAGGAAGGATATTATATAGATTAATTTAATTTAAATCTGTACGCAATGGCAATGGTAAACAAATAGAAAAATAAAAAAAAAAAAAAATCGCGCACATAGTAAAACCAATACGAGGTCTGTTCAAAAAGTCCCGGGACTATTTGGATTGTGCGCCAACGGAGCGTCCAAGAACCGTAGGATTGATATCACTAGATTCTGTGATTTCTCTTGAGTACATCTGTGTTTGTAGATTCTCTACAACTTTTTTTGTGTAGATGTAACCGATGTTTTCTTAAAATATTTTTTTCGCATTTGGCGATTTTGTATTAAATCCAAAATAAGATCTTTTTTTCGGGGGGGGAGAGTTGGTTGGTGAAGACTTTTCTTTCATTTTGATGGTAATATAACGATACAGGCAATGACTATTATCATAATAAATTGTCAAAAAGTTGTCATTTACCGTAGGTACTAAAAAATTCCTTATAAACCTGAACTTGAACCTTCCTCTACATTCTAAAAAAAATGCAATTAAAACAAAATGCATTTTAAAGTATTTTTAAGGATTCTACATATCATAAGCATAAAAATATACGTTATATATACTATAAGTTGCCAAATTCTTTAAAAATTGTACGTGGAATTTTAGTTTATTGTTTAAAATACGTTTAAAAACTGGGAAATTTGCGCGTTCGCATCAGAGTGTACTTTCCTGACTTATCGGTACATTAATGTTTTACTGGGAATACTAGCTACAACATTTGATTTTTTTTTTTTTAAATTAAATATTTTGAATGCTATATAGTTATAAAAGGTTACTGATATATTTAAAAAGTTTTTTTTTTTTTAAATTGTACAGTGATCGTACAAAATTACCAAATCACGCCGGTGAGTATCTTTTGCATTACTTCGTAGGTGACCGTGAAAAAATCTAGAACGGGTCGTTTACGTTCGCCCATTGTGCCCAGTATGGTTCCGAAGATCAAGCAAAAGAATATTATACCCAATGTATTTGTGCCGTCTCTAAAAATAGTTAGAAAAATGTTTTAAAAGACATAAAAGGTTCGCTAAATCAATAGTGGACGTAATTATTTTGTAAGTAAGACGCAAATAAATTAGTACAACAGACATATAGTATATAATTGTTGAATAGTATATTATTAAATAGGTACTTGTATTTGGTGACTCGCTTGAAGGTTGTTTGATTTTCTTTTTTGATCGGCTCGTATTCGGTTAATGTCTGGAAAATTGTATCAAAATTATACATCGATAATTCTATTAAATGATTTAACATCGTAATATTTTTATCAAAATCCAACTTAAAATATAGAGTTTATAAAAGATATCTTATTACAGAGCTGGTCTGGTTCTTCAAACCGGCCCGGGCTGAACAATAATATAATCCATTCAGGAAACCAGCCCCGTTACCAATTTATAGACCGGCCCAGTGTAACCCTGTTTCTTAAGAGAAATTAAAGAACTGTCGTGTATTTTACTTTTCATCTGGAATTTAAAATTAAAAAGTTTTTGGCAAGCCCATTTTATTCAAAATAATGTCATATCTATTATTTAAAAATATCAAATACTATTATGTACTTATATATGTCTTACCTGTTGAATTGTTGCTTGAAACACATTTTCTGGTAATAAATTCCTTGAAAAAAAAAAAAAAACAATAACACCATAGTAATAGGATAGGTAATAGGTTACGTTCCTATACAAATGACCGAACCGGACCGAAAATCGATGGTCGTTGCAGGTCTACAATAGGTACATTATTTGTTGTGATTATGAATAAAAATGCAAAAGTAATATTTATACTTTATAATTAATGTGCATAGGGATAATACAATATACGTTGATATAAAATACCAATATTGTTTTGAAACTTTTGAATTACAAAAAATATTTGAATTGTGTGCATATTACACGCTTAAATTTATTATGTACGGGTGTCATGATTTAAAATAAAGGTAATTCGAGTTGAGGTTTTACGAATATCATAGTTTTAACATTTTACTCACTTTCCCATATCTAGAAATCCGTCCATTACATTCATCTTTTTTGGTCCTGAAAAAGCAGGTGTGCTGTTTGTAATTTTTATATCAGAATTGCCAGGATGAACGAGAATACCCAATGTCAAACCCAAACAGACATTAAATACGGACGTAAGAACGAAGTATACAATTGTTCTCACCGCCACGTTACCGTTTTTACTTATGTCTAAATTAGCCGCACCTGAAAATATTTGTTCAATTATAGTTTCAAATTCTTCAATGTATCATATACTTTTTTAATTCCCTCTTATAATATTGTAAACATTAAAATAACAATTTGTTAAATTTGGACTTTTAATTTTGTACATTTTCAAAATCTACACATCATCGTATTTTCGAAAAAGTGTCTTTAATAATATGAAATTAATAACTTCAATTTTTTAATTTTAATACAAATTTTAAAAGACAAAAAAAATGTAGAAATAAAAAATAATTACCGTTGCACATTTATATCTAAGTTTAAAAAAAATTGTAAAAGTTATTCCAAGAATATAATGCTAACGTATTTAAATTTTATTATCCCTAATTATTATGTTATTAAAATATATAATTAGGTAAGATAATAAACTTGTTAGCTAATAGGATCCAAATTCCACTTATGTAATAAAAATATTCCATCATTGAATTTTTTTTAAGAACTTTGATCTATAATTTTAATATAGTCGATCCAAATATAACGATGATTTTCGAACAAAATCATTGAACCGAATAGGTATAAAAAATATTGATCGCTAATTTAATTCTAATTCTATACATTAAATTTGCATTATTAATTATAATAATCATTTGTAGCAATTTATAACTATCTATTTATTTATATCTACTAATATTTTTCAAATAAATATTGCAATTTTTATTATAATTGTATTGTTGGTGAATTTAATAGGGTTCTGTTAAGTTCATAAGCATTGCTTTTATTTTGTTAGTGTACTGTAACCATCAATTAATGACAAAAGACAAAATAATAATATTATGCTTACCTATTATCAAACATGATATGATGAACGGTAACACCATCAACTTTAAAGTCCTCAAAAAAAGGTCACCAGGATATGAAATTAATATAATCGTATCACTACTGAGATTCAACGGTCTTAATATTAAACCTGAAATTGAATATACAAAAAAAAAAAAAATAATGTTAGATAGTTGTCAAATTTCACTAAACTTTAACTTTAAATTTTAATGATCCTAAAATATGATGTACACATTTACTTCATTCTGTTTCTGTGTTTGGTACTAATATTTTTTTGTTTACAAAAAAGACATTTAATAAAATTTTAACGCTTAAAATTTATTTAGAAATTATCTGTAATGTATAATAGAATATTAATAATGTTGTTTGATATTTTTCATGTTTTTAGAATCCGTTTTATAATTATTACTATATTGATTTCATCAACTTCTAGTTCTCCTTCGCCTTCGTCTCAACAATTTTGGGGTCGGCTTACTATACGATATTGATTTATTATATTTTTATAACGGTTATTGATATTTATTTATTCGATATATAATATGGTTACCTATTTGAAGCAGTACAATAGATAATTTGTAAAAAATAAATTATCTTCATTATCAATAATTTTTTTTTTGTTATTTTATCTGATGTGGTCGCAAAATATTTTAACGGTATAGCGTTCTAGGTCACGATTGGAAACACATTTCGGAAACTGGTCAAATTAATTTGTCTACCAATTGTATGACTTATTATATTTTTGGTCATTAAATTTTGTTACCATTTTTCTACTTCTGAAACGAAATTTTAGGGATCGAGGTCTACCACTATCTACCACTACAACAAATTGCGAACCAGAGAAAAATCGAAAATTTTATCTACATATTGACGGATGTTTAAATAGTACCAAAATACGTATTATCCCACAGAATAATCTCATTTAAATCATTAACTAATAGATTGCCATTACTTTTATAAAATCTTTAAATATAATAAAAGAAAAACAGTTTGTATCACTACGGTAGGTGTTGGTGGACAAACAAAAGTTAAAGAAAGCCGACGCGTGCGTATAAAATTAAACAAATTATTAATATTATTTATTTTTTCTTTAAATACAAATATCTCAATTTTACACATATTCCTGTAACGCACCTATGACTGTTCAAAGAAATATTGTTGTATTTATCATAAATATTCATAGTGAAGAACATAAAATTGCCCTTGAATGATTTTCAAGGACACGGATGCATTCTTAAAAAATATATATATGATCATTGTTTTTAGGTTATACTTATATAATGTAGTATATTTTTTACTTAAACATAGTAGGTATGGTGTTTTCAAAATCTATTCAGAAATAATATTTTGTAATCATGGTATTATTAAATAACACATGTTTTGATAAGTTGAAAACGTTTTTAATGACATCATATTTCTCATGTACTCTCACCTCCGTCACAAGCTATACTTAAAGAAGGTGAGTAAATAGATAAACTCGCGTAAAAAAATATAATTTATTTCTGTATTTTGCAAGCGAAATAAATAATAATAATAAAAATAACAAACAATAAAATCTGTTTATCTTATAAATACGTATATTATATTTCGTATATATTTTATATACACGAGTACCTATGTATAGGTAAATAATACATTTGCATAATAAATATTTAATAAATATGATGCATTTCAACGTTTAATAAAGTATAATAATTATGTAAACGACTGCTTAGTATTTGTAAATGTTTTTAGTACTTCCAAGCTCACTGGCATTTACATTTTTAAAGAAAATTATAAAAGTATCTCAAATATGTAACTAGAATAATGATATTATGAACGACACGTTTTTTTTTTTTTTTTTTTTGAAAACCAGGCGCATAAGTTTACCAAAAAATATATTGTACTTCCTACTATTATATAATCCGTAAATAGTAAAACTACTGTAAACAAGATATTGTAAAATGTTTTTATATGCATTTTTTATTATCTAACGTATTATACATGTATAGATATCTAACCTTACATTTCTGTTTTCTAAACTTGTATACGAATAGTTTCTCATAAAATTCAGCGAATAGAAATTTATTTTTTGTTCATAGGAGGTAATTATTATTGTTTTAAATTTGTATTATTTATAAAAAAAAAAAAGATACGGAAATACTTCGTACAATGGGTTGGCCACAGTTGTAGGTGAGAAGTTGAAAAAGTAGGATACTGAGGGGAAATTAAAGTATATTTGTACGCATCGATTAATCTTTGCTAACGAAAAACGATTCTGAGTGAAGTTCGGTTATATATGTTTTGAAAGGACATAATATCTAAGATTTTCGTCAAAATTTGATACTAGAATTCTTTAAAAACTTTACACTCTATTTTTTTTTTTTTTTTTTTTACCACAAAGTACTCCTTATAATAAAATTCATATTAAATTTTGAAGCATTTCTGTTAGGTTTAACAATTTTATCCACTAAATACCTATTGAATAAAAATTACATAAAAAATGCGCAAAATTAAAATGTCTATATATAGCTCAAAAATGGCTAAAATGTTTTGAAAAATTGACTACGTCTAGAAAAGGCAAATTTCAGTTTTTTGTCCCAATGTCAAGTTTCTACGATTATTTTTAACTGAATCACAATAAAAAACAAAATTGCAAATAATACATTTCGTAAATATTTCTATTTTTCCTAAGTTTTTTACCGGGTTTTTCCAATTATTATTATAAAAACCGCTTAAATACGCCAAAATACGATATTCACAATTAACTACCCAGATCAAATTCTCTTTCAGAAAAGGTCCTACACTTGATACTTCGGAGCAACATTTCTAGTAGAATAGTTGTTCACGGGGAAAAACAAAACATCATTGTAAAATTAATACATTCCTCGCCCCCGCTCAAAATCTAAAATGAAATTTTACAGTAAATAACAGATATCTAAGTATATGTAGATTACGACAGTAATTATGTGCCTATGAGTACGAACTAAATTATATTTTTCACATAATTTTGATACGAATCTATTAAATATTTTGCGACATTTTATACAATAATGTACTTTATTTTACCGTTGTACTTAGCTGCTACGTTTTTTTTTTTGTGTAGGTATATATTGACTTTCATGTGTATTATCACAAACGATAAATATTCAAACTTTGAATTCTCGTTTGAACACCGTTTGACATTATTGAGAGTAAAACGCATTAGGTAATTATATAAATGTTTATTTACCTACAGTCACTCCAATAATAACCGATACCAAGATGATTATAAGGAATCTGTTGTGCTTGAGCCATTCAATGATCGTGTTTACTCTGGGCGAATTTTTTACCTTTGAAATAATGGTGAATGTCGACTCCGCTCGTTGTCTTTCCATATTGTCTGCGAAAATGAAACGAAAAATATTATATGGGCATCATACTGAACATATTATACCGTAAGTTTTTATTTATCAATTTCATATGTACACTAACAACTGTATTTCTGTAAAGATCTGAGATATTATTTAGGTTTTCTAGGTACTCTAGCTGCAGATTCACTGGCGGTTTTTTTTTTATTTATATTGTGCACGCATTAAAGCAATAGACTCGGTCATAATCGCGTACATGAACGGACTACAGAGCACTGTAATCGACTGCTGGAGACAAATACGCTCGCAGAACAAAATAGCACGGACAAAGTATGCAGACCAACGTGGTTACCGAAGTGGTGGTAAATATAGGAACTGGTTTTATATTTTTTATAACTAGTGTGTCGGCGGATACAGTCACAATATCGTGCGCTTTGTGTATATATATATATATATATATATGCACGCCATGACGATACTAGATATAACTGATGATAATGCTCTTCTGTTGTATTTACAGGTGGCCACAGAGGAGTGGATATATGCATATATACGTCTACCTACATAAACACGAACGTGATATCGCTGCACATGATACGAACAATAAAAAACCAGTCATCTGCGTTTTTACACGATCACTGGAGTCTATTTTGGTTAACACACACACACACACACACACACCGGTTTAACGGTTAATGTATTAGATATTGGGCACCTTTATGTACCTACATTATTATTATCTCATATAGTTGGACGTTAGGCCAATAGGCAATGGCGCAATCCCCGAAATGCCATTGAACTAGATATTATATTCGACTATATAATATAATTTACATATAATATACCTATACCATGCTCTGTGTATAGGCTTAATATATTTCGTAACAGTTCTTCTTATTAACCAGGTTTTCGAATATGTTATTCGATTAAAATTTCTAAAATATTGTGAAAATATATGCCTATATAACATGAGAAGCGGACTTGACATAAAATTACGAATCGACTATAGTAGGCCTGCTGTACATTCACTTTCCAGATTGTAAATAGTAGTATTATTTGTAATATAATTTTGAAATACATACGTTTCCAAATTATTTCTGAAGATGGACATTATAATAATAACGAGGACGCGAGATTAAATAGACTTAACATTGGATAATATATTATAGGTTTATACAAATTAATATACATGAATTCATATAATAAATAATTTTAAAATTATATCTGTAACACAGTATCATGATAAATACCTAAAATATAGTTATAGCCTAAAGGGTTGATGTTTTATTGATGTTATTATTATTATTTTTAAAATTATTTCTTCCCAGGACAGCGCAGTTATTAGGTACCTAACTAATTTGTTTGCGTTTTTAAAATAATTCCAGAGAAAACTAAATATCGGAAAAATTTAAGCTCTACTTTTAACAAAATATTTTGTAATATTACATTTTTATAATGACCGTGTACTCTATATCAGTGACGCGTTTAAACATTTTATTCTAATATAATTATGTTATATAATTCGTCGTTAAATAATAAAAAAATCCACATCTTTAGTATAGCAGTTAAATTTATATTGTTTAGTGCTTTATGAACATCTATTTTTTACGAAAATAGAAAATACTTTTTTGTATTGCAGTTTTCATAGGATACAGAAACATTTTAATATAACGAAAAAATGGTGTATTATACGCAGGAAAATTTGGCGCAAATGGGCTATTGAAAAACACACCTTTTTTATTTTGGCGTAGATGGACTGTACCCATAACTGTACCCAGTTTTCAAAAATTAGTTTAACATTTGGCACTTCACGTAGAAGTGCATCAGATGTTAAGTTGATAAGAATAGATAATACACTTTTGATCTTAGCTGATAGGCCGAGAAGCGATAACGAACCCATAGACAATTTATGTACCTAATTTATGTACCCATAACGAATTTATTTTTTTTCTGCACGAATGGGTACTTCCCAATATTATAATGCCGGTTAAATCTAAAGCTAAAAAAAAAAAAAATGGTATCTACATGATTATTGCGTAAATTATATTAAGAGCCTATAGTAAATCCAACAGATGACGGCCGAACAATATATTCGCCCCTGTTGTTTGGCGCGTTTGGTATCTGCGTATGTTAAATTGTACCTATGGAAGGAAAGAGTTATTTTTGTAACGTAGCAGTACGTACATCATAATTACCTACGTCATTATTAAATCTCTTCATTTATAAAAAAAAAAAAATAATTAGATATGATTTTTTTAATAAAATATTATTATATAACCGGTCCGATTTGTTCTTATCGTTAATGGATAGTTATGGCGTGCAAATATAATTGTAAATAAATAGATTAATTGTACCTACTTTATGTACGGTGAAAACCGTGTATGGTATATACCGTTTAGAACGATGGTTTCTCGAAAAAAAAATGCATTTTTCAGTAAATTTAGATAACCAGCTATTTTATATATTATGTTATCGGCAAAGTGAAGCATAATGTTGAAATTAAATATTATAATGTCTATATGTTATAAATGTAGGTGTGCCAGTAATTATTGACCTGGGGGGAGGGGGATTTTCTAGAGTTAATTTACCCCCTCGGTAAAATATTAAGGGGGTAAATATCAAGGGGCTAAATTTTTTCGGGAACATCGGGACTTTTTTTGGGCATGTACCAGTTGTAGTAATTCAAAAATAAGGCGGGGGGTGCCTAGTTATGTAAATTTGATTCACACGTATAAGTTAACTATAAATTTGATTACCTTTCTTCTTCAGGCGGCAAATTGATCTGTTGAATTTGATATAGGTGACCGTAGTAAATAAAAAGATTTCAATATAATAACTGTTTCTATTTTATTAATTTTTTAAATATAAAATACNGTGCCTAGTTATGTAAATTCGATTCACACGTATAAATTAATTATAAATTTGATTACCTTTCTTCTTCAGGCGGCAAATTGATCTACTGAATTTGATATAGATGACCGTAGTAAATAAAAAGATTTCAATATAATAACTGTTTCTATTTTATTAATTTTTTAAATATAAAATACTGTTCTAGGTTCCCGTGCTTTTGTAAGAATCTCTGCGTAGTCTTTTACACTCGCTTGTGATCATCTGTCCAAAAGCAACGGGAACAATACATACTCTGTGTTTATTGGAAGTGTCCGGCCTCCGTTTTACTATCATTCCTGTTATTAATTGTTTGATTTATTAACATTACATAATATTTTATTTTACATAATGTATGATAGCTTAAATAGCATATCATTACATCCACCCCAGTCTCTTTTTTGTTATGCCCTCATAACAATGCATATTATTTTATAAAGAAATCAATGTATAATATTAAATTGTAGTATTAATAAGGGGAGAGAGTAAAATGAATATAATATAAAAGGGGGGTCCGTATGCATGTGATGTGTGGTGGATACTTATTTTATATTGAAGTTCTTCGAAGATCTGGATATAATTGTGGAGTAGGGTGTTTTTCTTCCGTTGTCTTGTTGGTCATAGTAGTAGAAACAGCCCCGTATCTGTTCGAGTTCTCTTTGTGCATTAGATAATGCGTTATGTTTTAGAAAATGCCCGCTATTAATTTAATGCTCCAACCAAATGTGTTGTAAAGGATGGATATATTCAGTATGGTGTTGATAGTCATTAGAGAAACTTTGCCTATCACAAAGATTCCTGAGAGGCTGAATGCGACATGTCCTATCCCAAATTTTTGTAATTCAGAATGGACCATATTACTTATTGTTTGTTCGCTTATAATATTCCTAGTATCAAATCCTTGATTTATTACTTCATGACCAATTGTCTGTCTTATTAGATTTTTCTGGGCCGTTTCAGTTTGATGCGGGTACATGAGGTGTTTTAGTAGTGCATTGATTATTTCCGGAATGTAAATTCCGACCGTCATGAAATTATCTGCATTTTCGTAAAACCAGGATAGTGTGGTAGCTGATTTCAATTTTTGAGGAGGATATTATATTTCCTAGAGGTGTGTAGTACACTCTATGTTGATGGAAATAAAACATGTTTGAAAATATACGGGGTGTGTTTCTACTTTCTGTAATAGTTTTATTCTTCGCATGTGTTAGATTTCGACGGGCGTTGGTATGTCACAGTCGCCCTTAAAATTACCTTTTTTTATAACCCCCAAACTGCCTAGAGTAAAATGCACCAGTTGCCTTCAGCATATTATTATACGACCACAATATCACGACCGTCCTAAATTAGGGGAGGTAAATTCTTAAACAAAATACATATAATAAAATTAAATAAACACATTATTTTCAATCATAATAATAATTGGCAAACAACGTTGTTAAAATAAAAAACAAATTGAAATAGTAAACATCTTGTAAAGATAACAATAACACGAGTATTGCGCTAATGTCTAACTTATTATTGTTAGATACCTATTGGCTATCTATAATCGTTACTTGTCATTATCCCCTAGGTCAACTAGATCATCTAGGTCAACATCTCTTTTTTGTTTTTTTTTTTTTTTAAACATGATAATTATTTAATTAACTATAACGCACAGAAATCATATCTATACGCGGGCGCCGGATTTTCCCAACTGTACAAGGTGCTCGCAAACACCGAAAATCAAAAAAATAAAAAAAGATCACCGGCAATACTATATTATATTATAGTATAATGTATTATAATTATATAACAAGTAGCAAAAATATATTACCAATTAAATATTTATTTTTTTTTTTTTTTTTATTATTATTTCATAGGGTGCTTGAACACCGCAGCACCCGTGTAGTCGGCGCCCATGTATCATATAAATAATATACTGAACACGGTGAAAACTAATATTTTACGCTCGTGTATCAAACAACAATATCGCGAACATCACGCGGCATCACAAAAACCGATTATGCTTAGCGTATGATTAGCTATCATATTTTTCGGCGCGTGATAGAACTTAAAATTTATCGACCGCGGTCAACGATTGACTTGACGTAACGTAACGTATTAATAGACACTTATTGTATCATAAAATATTAAATTTATTCGAAAATTTCTCAAGTTTCGGCGGGAGATCGCTATTAAAATGCCGCGCGTTTGGCCTCCATACAAATGATGAACCACTATTCACATTTCCCCTCCCCCGCGAAACTCAAAAGTAGAATATCTCGTCGACGGGTCGAAGGAAATTAAACATTTCAACATCGAAATTTATTTAAACTAACATTCCTAATAATGATAATCGATAATAGATAAATTATTATTTATGCAACTTTTAATATAGGTTGCCATTAAAAAATCAAAAGTAGGCAGAGGTTTCACTCATTAGAATGAGGGCGACAACATATAACCGTAATGTAGCATTTTAAAACTGCTTGCGTTTCTTGAATGATCTAAAAAGCGAATTCCGAAAAAAGTTTATGCTTTCCGAGATGACGAGTGCCCCGCGTTTTGTCGATCACTCCGTATTATATTTAAATTTTTAATTGGCGTGCCAGGACGCGCCATACGGAGCGGCCCGTTGAAAAATATGTCCGATTCCCGACGTGCGTCAATCCGCCCCGGCAGCAGGGATGGTAACTACGTAAAAGTCGATTATTACAGGTAAAATAACAATCGCCAAAACTCACCGGTATTTTTGACGACATGCCTGCGGTTGTTGTTCAAAGTCAGCGGTCGCCTTTTGGTGGCCATCGTTTTTTTAATTACGTTTGGTTCGCTGCTTTGTGACGAGCAAAAAACAGGTCGCGGGCGGCTGCAGCGACGGTGGCGATTGCGGCCACCGAACCGACAATATTGCTGCAACACAATGTTATGCTTACGCAGACCGTTGGGCATTATCGTCACAGACGACTACTCGTTTTATATTATAGCTGCACAGTGCACACTCTCTGTAAAGGGCTTTCGGGGTTTATCACACACACACACACACACGCACACATTAACACACGTACGTACGTGTCTCGTCGTTGTCCCCGGTTACTGCCCCATCATCGTAGCAAAATTGACGTATACGTAAATAATAATAATAATGACAACGTCCAGTTTACCGTCGTCGAAGTATCTATTATTATTATTAAAATACGTAAGTGTGTACCGATCAGAATAAATTTTCTATTTGGAAATCGTTTATCGAACGATAATTATTATTACTTGCGGATATTTTGTAGCAATGGCGTGCCCAGGAATTTTCAATGGGAGGGGATGTAACAAATAAAAATCGTAAAAAAAAATAGTAAAATCGTCTTCTCTATCCAACTCGACTATGGGAATCGGTAATTTAAAAGCCGGAACCTAAAAGAAGTCAATTTTTGTTTAATACATCAAGCTTTTTCTCGGAAATCGGCCGAAATGTATGAATTTCGATATTAGAATTATTAGTTTACTCATATTTCGTTTTTTATTATTTTTTTAAGCCAATGGGGAGGATATAACCCCTAACCTCTTTTTCTGGGCAAGTCACTATTTCGTAGGGATAATATTAATCAATACGACTTGTTGAATACCTAATAATAACTTGGTAACTTGGTAATACATGTAACTTCATGACGCGTATAGGTACTTAATTTAAATTTATCAATTCGTTTAATATTCACTTATAATAATATTATAATACCTATAGTACTATAATAGTATTATAACAATGTAGGGACGGGATATTAATGTGTTAAAAATAAAATAAATAAATATGTATAGGCACTTATGTACCAAAAAGTTGTTTCCTCGATAGAAAAAAAAAGTATAATGTATTTTTGAGTAAATTTACACAACGCATTATGACATATTATGGTATCGGCAAAGTGATGCCTAATGTTGAAATTAAATATTATAATGTAGGTGTCGGTGTTTATTAACCCGGGATTATATTTTACCCGGGGAGGAGGGAATTTTATCAGGGTAAATGTACCACTTCGGTAAAATATTAAGGGGGTAAATATCACGGGGGTAATTTTTTTTCGGGCGTGTATACCAGTCGCCCTCAAAAGTAACCTAAGCTCTTTCATTTAGAGTAGGTAGATAACAGAAAATAGCCCTATCCACCATAGAATTAGATTGAATAAAAATAAGACGGACGTACTCCGCACGATGGATGGGCTACTATCATAGGTGAGAATTTGAGAAGGTAGGATATAGATGGGAATTTAATTTTTATCTGTACGCAACGATAAACCATTACTACATAGAAAAGGTACTACACTCGGAAATCGGAGCGAGATTTCTGGTAGACAAATTGTTTACAGACAAAAAAAAAATATAAATAAAACAAACTTCATTGTAAAAAAAAATAAATGCATATACTAACGATACTAGCGTCCAGCAGAGCCAACTGATACTGACAACCGAATTAATACCTATTATTTAAATTTACCAAAACAGTACCAAATTATAACAAGTATACTATAAAATATTATAAAATAAATATTCAATTGTAGGTACAATAGCAATGAATGTAATTGAATTCCAATACCGGAACGGAGCACAGGTGTAGTTCTTCGAAATCGTGTCCGTGGGTATCTAAACCGTAGACACGCCGTTGTTATTATATTATTAAAGGACAAAACAAACGGAAATTATTTTAACGTAGAGTAGTTTTGTTCAGAAAGTAATATAATACAGTTAATTGAGTGGGTTATATTTGTGTTTAAATGCTTGTGAAACGGTCGGCGCTTTAGTCGGGCGGCAAATCAATATATTGGGTCAGTTTAGAAGAGTTAAGCATATTCATGCAAATAAATTACTTTATCTATATATTTATGTAACTGATCTATAATATATACTTGTGTGTAGTATTGATTCGATTGGCATATTTATTCATCTATCCTGGGTTACAGTAGTGATACCAAATATCTACTGAGATCGCTGTATCGCCGTATAAAACATTAAATTACATTATAGTATTGTGTTATCAGTTTAGTAATAAATTATAACAAAGCTCGGTGTTACTTTGATGTGTAATTTTCTTTTTATTACAATATTATTATTGTTTATTATGTAATGTGTACTATTGTTAAATTTAATTTAAATTAAATGATAACGTTCAGACTTTTTTTCATAATAATGTAACCGAGACTATAATAATTACTCGGTTTTACAGGATTTTCACTAGGTCACATCGTGAAATAAATAGAGGGATTTGCCATATTATCCTCCCCCTCTACGGTTTCAACCTGAATTCCGTACAATAATTAGTAGTGTGTATCTTAATTTTTTTTCTTTTTCATCTATGGTTAAAATGGCTCTAATCTAAGCAGTATATTTGTATATGTTATGCGTACTTGTGTCGTTATAGGATGTATTAAACCAAAAAAAAAAAAAAAAATTTCGTTAAGACAAATAGAACTCCAATTTTGAACAATACTGATATAACAATATTATTATATTATATTACACCCAATGTGTTTTTTTTTTCTAGTATAAATTAGCAGATATTTTATCATAGTTGATTAGTGTTCAATATTATCTATAATAACTTGAATTTATTGTGCTTTGTTCTTGTATATAAGTTTTATTACACGCCTTTCCAAATTTATTAAGTTTTACTATCATGCTGCGCGCGTTTTTCCGATTTCATTATTACACCAGTATTAATAGTGGGTTAGTTTTGAATGGTCGTAGGTATACTCGTCGTTTATAGGTAATTAATAATTTACTGTCATTACGTGTTCATTTTGTTTAGTGGTTTAATATTTAAATATTATATTACACGGAGAATTTTTGACGCAATAATGACATCTAATAGTGTGAATAAATATCTTGAAGAAACAAGTGATTGTGCAATAGTTAGTAGTGATTTCGATGACAGCGGTAGTTCTACTCGTTAAAATATGATAATACAAAATCTTTCAAAAACGTATAAAGTTCGTCTAGAAATTTAAAAATCTAAAAAAGGTGACTTGTTAGAACTTTGTAGGCAATATCTTATACCACCTCTGTATCACGATTTTTAAACTCACTGTAACGAGTAATTATTTTTATTTTTATTTTTATTCAGTATCATTTTTATTTATAATTTAAAAATGAGTGTTTGACTTAAGTCATATTTTATTTTCTAATTAAATCATATAAACTGACATAACTCAAATTTTTTGTTAAGATATTTACGGTTTTGAAATTTTTGATTATATCAATAATAGGTAAAAAAAAA